CAAGCAGTCTCACACACAAACACACACGCACATACAGAGTACATGTGCAGTCCTTGGACAGTGTTTTAATTCCGGGCCTTGGCTAAGAGATCTGAGGGCTTAGTTGGTGCTGCTACTGTCCAGCCGCTGGCTTGGAAAACATACAATAGACACACTAGTTTGTATCTGTACCTATCAAAGTGTGTGTGCACATGTGACACATACTCCCGTCGAGTTTAGCTCATGTATCAGTCTTCAAGATGGTTGTTGGATGTTGTTGCAGCAGTTATTTCATCTTGCATCTCTAGGTGTGTGTTCCTGCCTTTGTCTGCGTTAAGAAAAATGTATTGTGTGTCAAAGTACCACCTCTGATGTTAACTAAGTGTGTGTGTGTGTTTATGTGTGTGTGTGTTTGTGTTAGCATTGCTGGGTGAAGGGTTTTGTGCCCACGGTGTCAGCTGCAGCTCGGAATCATGGTCCTGCATCGGCTCAGAGCAGCAGATTCTTTGACAGCTGTGCATACAGTTTACAGACAGTGTTCCATAGGATTGTGTTGAAACCAGATTATTGTAGCTGGAGAGTAAAAGCTCACTGTGACCGGCTGTTTGCTGTAACTGCAGTTACGTGGAAAGGATTACCAACATAGGATTTTATGGTGAGCCTTTTTGGTTAGATTGGTTACTTAGAAAGGGGAATTAGTGTTCCTTCAACAGTCTCATGATGTTATGCATTTTTAGCTATTCATGTAAAATAATGGCCATCTTTCTGCAGATATAGTCCTATAATGTATTATCTAACACTAAACAAAGAGAAGCTACCCTAATACTGCAGTTAGAGCAGCTGTATTTTATTTGATTACAATATGTACCACAGTCGATTACAATAGGTTCGTCGCTCAACATATACAGTGCCATTAAGTTCATGTTACATTCCTAAATTTGTCTGTCTTTTCATTTTGTGTCACAGCTGTATTGACACTGCTGTCTAACTAAAATATGATGCACAGTCCCAGATGTGGGTTTTTGTTCTTAATAGACAGCTTTAAAACGTATGCATCTTATATACCTGGACAAGCCACTCATATATAAGGGTTCCCACACATTGAAGTTGAAAAACTTAAATTAAATAAATTCTACTTGATTTGAACTGTTACTTATAAGCTGTGGCTAAATTAATGTTACGGTTTGTGAGCAAATGCTGTCCTGTATTGTCAAGAAAACCCCTGGAAAATGTCCTGGAAAGGTACTGGGAAATAATTTCTTAAAAAGAGTGGGAACCCTGATATATACTTAAATGCGCTCAACTAGGGTTCCAAATTATTATCAGTTACAATGAGAGGAAAACAGAAGGATTTTTGGCGGGTTTTTTTTGGTTGTTGTTTTTTTGGTTGATCAAGCGCTTTATTATAATTTCTTGAGGTTTTATGTCCTATATTTTTTAACATTAAAGAGTAGAATTCAATGTTTTTTTTTGATAACACTAATATAGTAGATACCATAGAATATCAAATGTACATGGTATTATTATCATGCCTCACTGTACCATGGTTTAGGTATACTGCTGCAACCCTACGCTCAGCTGTATCCAGATGGGGTCATGGGAGGGATGGGAGGGAGGGGAGGGACTGAAATAAAGAGCTTTTAACCTCTTCCATTCTTTTGAAAATATAGCACAGACGTATGCGTTACTTAAATGAACAGTATTGTACTTCCAATGTTGGTTGTGGCAATTTTAGTTACTTCTACAAAGAAGCACTCTAATACTCAACCAGTTGTAGTTCCAACTTTGGTTCTTCGTTTGCCAATACATACAGCACAACTTCCACAAGCAACAGTCTGCAGACGCTAACACTGTTTGGCATTTGCTGTCATATTGAAAGAAAGGTTTAATACTTGTAAGGCATGGCAAATACTGCACAAATACACAAAGACCACGTCAAAACACCATGGAAACAAGGGTGACAGAGTTGGGGGGGGCTTGGAAAGACAGGCTGGTTACTCTATCATCAGGCCCATTAAGAGCTTCCCCCATTGGAACACTTAGGCAGCATTCAGACTGTGACAAAAGCAATGTGTCAAAAATGCAATCTGCTTGTTCTTTTCAATTAGACTACTACATTTTGGTGTAGTAGGATGGTGCTGCAGAGGCATGCTGTATCATTAAGCAGGAAGTTAATCCTGACCTGGGATTTTTCCATGACTCCGTACTGTTTCATTCTGTTACGAAATGGACTGGCCAATCAAATGCAAAATTAAATTCCAGGTAAAAAACAATGCTGCATTTACTGTGTAGGAACATGCAAAAAATTTCAGTAAGCTTTGTACGTTTGTACAAACACACTCAAAGGTGGGGTCAAAAGCCTGCCGTTGTAGGAAGCGATAAGGCATGATAAATTGTTAAAAAGGTGTTGTCGGTTGTCTACATTAAAGGTGTGAAGAATTAAAACAAGAGCTTGAGCTCATTAACCAATGACACTCCTAACCTAAAAAGCAAATATTAGCATGCTAACATGCATGATAGCGTTGTTGGTCATAGTGAAAACATTAACATGCTTACATTAGCATTTAGCACTGCCTTGCCTAAGTACAGCCTCATACCACTGCTAGCGTGGGTGTAGACGCTGTTTAGTTTTGCAATGTTTTGATTTGATTTATTTGACATCTCAAAATATATATCTTGACAAACGCTGTAACAAATACATACATATTCATTAAAATGTCGAAGATAACACAAAAGAGTCTGAAAGATTTCCATTGTGACTCACTGATGTTGGTAAAAATCGACTCAACCAGAGATATCACACTTTTTCCCAAGTGCAGGATCATGATATTTTTGTAATGAGTTTACATTGCTCTGTTACACAGTGATTTATATTCTAAAATGGCTACTTTGCTCCACTGTTTGCATTTGGTACACCCAGTGTGTGCATGTGTCAGAGTTTTGAATGGTAGAAGCAGATCTCTTTCCACCATAAAGAAGAAAAGGAGCAACGGTAATGATTGGGAAGGCAGACAGACCTTGACACAGTAGAGTCGGTCAGTGGAACATGGTGTGCTGCAGGAATATTCAACATGGCTGAGGTCATCTGTGTCTTGTAATGGATGAAAGTCTTCACATTATGAGTTTGTCATTTGAAAAATGTCCAGATTTCTCTCAGTGACTTGGCAATAGCTGTCCACTGTTTAAACTTGTTATTTCCTAATCGTGTCGCACCCTGCATGGCTCTAGTCTGCAGGAAAGGGGTTTCCTTACTGATCAAGTTGTCAAATCAGCATTCCTAACCTTCATAATTTAAATACAGTCAATGCTAGCCTGCAGGAGTTTTTGTAATGTTACTTTTTTGATTCTGAACTCCATTTATAGTATTTCCACATTTTGAACCATTGTGTTTACAGGCACAATTTAGCTTACTTTGACCTCCCTAACTTTTAGATCCAGTGCCTCTTGAATGTCCAAGAACTGTCCATGCTGAGACTGATGAAGCATAAAACTGCACTCAGTATGCAGAGGCAGACTAAATAGGCTGTTGAAAGCACTTAGTCCTATGGCTCAAGAAACAAAACTAACAGCGCATTTCACCCCTGCATCCTCAGCCAACGTGGCACCACAGGCCTCGCCAAGGGTGACAGAGAATAGAGGACCGGTAGAAGCTTTCCTTGCACAGAGAGGGAAGGGGCACAGGGGACGGGGGGTTGGGGAGTCTTGCTTGATTAAGATTTATGTCTAAATTTTCCTTCACCAGCAGCCGCTGCCTGCTGTTGGAAAGGCTCCCTCATGTAACCTTCTTTGCCGTGTTGATAGAAAGGCTTCTTGTAAATGTGTTGCATGACAAAGCATTTCCCGTTTTGCCCTTCATTTTACTCCCTTTCACTATGTGGACCCTCAGAAGGGGTCGGCCAGTGGGACATGGTGGAAACAAACACTATGTGAATACCCCAGGGAGCTGCTGAGAAAAACAATGTAGGGATGGTTTGAGCCAAATGTGGTCTGATGTGCAATTTATTGGCAGACGGTTTGACGTTGTCGCCCTAAATTTTCACAAAAGACTCTCTGATTATCCGGGATGTATGTACGTTTGTTTTGTCATGGTCAAGTGCTTAGTTTACCACTGTAGTGGGCATTTGCTAACTGACACATCTTTTGAAACATAAAAGAGGTAGAAAAGAGGTTGGACACATGTTAAGCCAGTGGCTGGCTAAGTCTCAAATGTGATCTTACAAGATTGTTGAAATATCTGGATGTTTTTTGAAAAACATGATTAGTGCAACAGCTGTGTTCCACATAATTCTTTAAAAAGTCTGCTTTTCATAATGGTATGTACCCTCTTTGGGCTTTTGAATGCCCAGATCAGTGCTTTTTGAGTAGTTTAGGACCTCCACTAGGGGTCGCCAAACTTCATGGGGGGTTGTGAGGCCTTCTTGATTTTAAGGCCTGCTAGCAAACTTTAAAACTATACAAGTAGGCCTATATCTCGTATATCTGGTTTGTAAAATAAAGTAAAATGTCTAATAGAACAGTGGACTAGCGCCAGGGAGAAGTAAACTTTGAATTTGTAAAAAAGAAGCATATCTAGTAAATAATACATGATAATGACAGAATTGTATCAAAAGTTTCCTAAACAGTCACTCTGATAGGCCCCCTATGTAAAAACAGAAATCAATTTCATCAATATCCTTTCATTCTTCCTGATTATCAGAGATGGTAAAAATGAATTATTCATAGAACTGCGGTAGTTGGGTTGGAGTTACTCGAGTAAAAGGTGTAACGTTGCTGTAGACAGTTGTATTTGGTGGTTGAATACATTTTTTAATATGTGAGGGGAGTGTGATTAAGTTAAGAAGGGTGTTCAGTTGCTCTCTAAAAATATAAAATCGATGACAGCCCTCTAATAGATACATTTTGAGTTTTGTTGAATATGTTAATACTCCAATCTCTACTGCTTTAGTTATGTGTGTTTCATCAGTTGTTACTTCAGGACTGCATAAGGTATTCAGAGACTGACTGTATGTGTTTCTTTTCAGGACAAGCCCTCCCTACTGTTGTGCTGACCTGTATTCTCTACGGACGGGGGAAATGGTCAAATCAATTCAATTCAAGACGCCCATCTATGATCTCCACTGCAACAAACAGTATGTCTGTTGGACCAACTGATCTAAAAAAAGAAACTCAAGACCCTGATGTTTTATCATACACTGCACGTTTATTTTCATTCAATTAATGTACTATTTTCTCCCTCTTCAAGCATTCTTGCTGTGAGCCTACAAGAGAAGATTGCAGCGTTTGACAGCTGCACCTTTACTAAGAAGTTCTTTGTTACAAGTAAGAAACTTAAACACGACAAGACATTGTTTTTCTATTGTACTACATAGAAATATTCACCTTAGTTAAAAAGAAAAACAGTATAATACCTGTTTTTGAGGATTTTGTTTGTGTCCATAAACCTATTTTAGAGTTTTAGATATTTTAGGGGTATCTCACCTCTGTTTTTCTGACTTGCTATTTGTTTTATAAAGGAAAAAATTGCCACATTTTATTTGGATGTCCAATTAGTGTTGATGTTAAATTCCTCAATGCAAGATATTTTGATGGAGAAAAGTCTGCAAAATTTGTCATTTGACATGTACAGTGATGCAGTTTGTATCAGGGAAGAACTATGGGCTGTTTCAGTTTGGTGCCTGAAGGTAACTTGTGCTATCTGTGAAAAGGAAATGGTCAAACTGCAGGAATTAATTTGCTTGGCAATGTTGTGTAACTGATCAGCACCCAGCAGCTAACTTAGCTTGCTCAGGGGGTGTGGGTGTGAGGACCTTGCTGCAGTGCCTACTGGTACACATACACTCTGCCAATATAGCACGCACTGGGAAATGTATTGCTTTAATTGACCCTTCCCAAGCCCTGGCCCTCTTGGAACCTCAGTCAACTCCTTTCCTGTACTTAGATATGCTCTCTATGTTAAAAAGACAACCACATTCTGAAGATGGTTAATGGATAAAAGCAACATATAGTCACATCTTAAATTAGATAATTAGATTAGATAACAAAACGCTAACTAGCTAGCTAATCTACCTCAATCTTTACGTAGCTAATTAGCTTCCATTTTGCTAACATTAGCTATCAGATGTATGTAGCCAGCTAACGATTGACGTAAATTAGCTAGCTAGTCAGCTAGCGTTTTGCTAACATTTGCTAACTTAAGATGTGACTATATGTCAGTTTTATCTTTTAACCCTCTTCAAAATGTGGTTGTCTTTAAAACATAGATGAGCCTAGCACATAGCACATCAAAGTACAGGATAGGGCCGAGGCTTGCTTAACTGTCATTGGAGCACACAGAGAGAGAAAATGGGCTGGACTTGGAAAATTCTTGACTACAATTACCATCATCCCTGATTGGATGTTATTCAGATTACAAAGAAGTTAGATTTTCTGTAGACTGCAAGTTATTTTAGTTTGTTTCCAATGGAATTTATGAAATGTTGGATGTAACCGCCGTGTTCTGTACCATATGCAGTAGCGCAAACAAACAGCGCCAGTTGTGTAACATGTGTTTTTTTTTTCAACACTAACCTTGCCAAACATGATCAGTTATTCTATCATGCTGGCATCACACAAACCAAATAAACAGAAAGCAGATCATTGATTATAATGCAAGCAGCCACCAAGGCCTGCTGCAGTTTGGTTTTCTCAAGCTTTGCATTGCAACTGAAGTGCTTTTATCAAAACATGATGTGAGGCCCTCCTTTTGAAGCTCAACACAAGAAAACTGTTTACAACACAGCTCTTGCATCCTCCTGGCTGTACCTGCCATGTCTGCTCAAGGAGGCTGTGAAAGAAAGGCCAGACTGTATTACATGGCCATTGCTGTCCACTTAAGTCATTGACTGGAGTAAACTGACCTTACTGGCTGGCTTTAATGTGTCTCCTCTTTGTCTGCCTGCCTTCCCTATCAGTGTCTGGGCCACAGGAAACCAAACATGCTCAATAGTTATTAATCGTTTCTGAATGCAGGGGCCTCTTCTTCATAACGTTGTTTGGTCTGTTTGGGACGTAAAAGCAGTAAACAGAGGGTCCTGTAATGTGCTGCAGCTCTGCTTCGGATGAGCCATTCTACTATTGTATGTCCGTTTCTTCTCCAGGGACGTGATGGTGGACATGTCATGTTTTTATGAGCACTTAAAGCTCGTCCCGTGTTTATGTTCTTGCTTTGCATTCAAGTGGTGCGTGCTGTGAGCGGGGACTTGATTCCACAGCCTTGTCTTGCATGTCTAACAACTCACAATGATCATGGTTCGGTACCTACTGTGTTTTCATACAGTAAAAGTGTGTCTGTCGCTGCTTGTATATCCGTGCCATGTAATAACAACAATCACTACTCTGACTTTCCAGCCTTTCAGTTTTAAAAGCCCAATGTGTAACATTTCTATCAGGATCTATTGTCAGAAATGGAATATAATATTAATATATTGAATATTCATTCCTAATTTTTTGTTTAGATCATTTTTTTTTTTGTTTGGTTGTTCACATTCATTTAGAAATGTGGCCCATATCAGATTCCAGTGTTAACAGGTCAAGCTCCTGAAGTGACCCGCATGACAATCGTAGTGAGAGTAATGTGAAAGTCGCAAAAATTCTGATATGACCTGTATCTGATTTGGATTTAATCGAAAAGATCAGGTTCCATGTGATTTGTGCTGTTCACACATAAAGAACTCTGATCTGAGTCACATATGAGCAAAAAAACCTGATTTGGCTCACTTTGGCCTGCAGTCTCATTCTCCATTTATCCCCTCATAGCTTTTACAACACTTGAAAAATCGGACAGATGTAGGGTTTATTAGAGTGCTCAGAAAACTGTACTTGTCCAAAGCAATGTCTATATCTGGCCCTGGGTTTTGAGCCAATTAGTGTAATGTACAAACAATGCAGCGATCTTTCCAGTGTGCTTGACCTGTAGACCTGCACATCAGCTGAGCTGCTCGCAAGGTGTGTTCATGCATACAAATCAGAGTTGCTTGTACAGTTTTGACTGTAGGACAGTGAACTACTCACACTGAGAATACTCTCATACATGCTGAGTACATTTGCTTGTGCAGATCTCTCTGTTTTGTTCACATTTTGTAGTCATTACTCCGCTCAAATCTGTTTACTCTCTCTCTATTTATTGCAGATTTTTCCATTGACTGGGTGAGCTCTGTCTGGTCTGTCTGCAGTGACACATGTTGACGCAGGCTGTTTTTCATGTTGATCATCCAGCGCATCTTGGCTGCAAATAAGGATTTTGTTGGCCTGTTGAGAGACGTTGTTGGCTTGTTCAAGGCCTGTACAGTTGTAGGAGGATCACAGTGTATATTGTAGGGCCTTTATTTACGGTTTACTATATGAGAATAAGGCAGTTACTGTTATTGGTAGAAGTATTTCTTGTTGAAACAGTAGCAGAAGCATCAATAACAGTAGATGTTTTATTTAGTGTCTAACTTTAGGAAACTTGTAAAGAAAATGTAAAGTTGAAATATGTAATATCAGCCTGTGAGGACCACGCTCACAAAGGTCTTTCTAGGTTCGTCTTTGGAAAGCCTGAACCCTGCTTTTCTTTTCCTTTGATTCCATCTATCGTGTATGTTTCCTCTCCCCGCTCAGCCCCCTGCTCTCCACCCAGGATGTCAAACACATGTTATCTCACCGCCCGGGCTCCCTTCAGCCTTGGAGAGGCACAAAAGACTTCTCTGGCGTTACCAGCAGCCCTTGTGGCTTACCTCAAACCCCCCCCCCCCCCCATTTTTCCCCCTCTAACCCACCACCCTCCCCAACACAGAAGCACCTATAAATTACTGTCTCCCTCATTGCTCCTGAGCACTAAATTATTGTCAGCAAGCCATTCCCCACACTCCACGCACTTACATTAGCTCTGTGTGTGTGTGTGTGTGTGTGTGTGAGACTAGTGCCCGTGTTCTCAAACACAGCGGGTGTGATCATTATTGGATCAACATTTTGTTTCCCGTATGTTTACGCATACTGGAAACAGGCAGACTGTCACTGTCTGTTTCTGCTAGCATTTAAAGATATTTATGACAGTATCAATCATCTTTTCAGTCTGTTTACAAGCACATGTTTGCCTGTTTTTGGTTGATTCCGTCTTGCAGCAGGAGTGATAGACAGTCGTAGTCTCAGTTTTGGTGTTAGTCATAGCAATCCGCGTCCTTGTTTACTTCCACATCTGTTGGAGTGGGAAGAGAAAAATACGTTCTTACAGTGTCCGAGACGTTTATCTGTTTGTGAATGCACAGCTTTGTTTGTCGTTTAGGATTATTGGTCGCTATTTTTATTTCTGCTGACAGTACACCGGTTGTGTTTGCGTGTAAATGTGTGCATGTTTGCATGTGTGTCCCTGCAGGGATTACTGTGTTGGTCAATCAGCGGAGGAGCCATCCTCAATTTATTGGGTACCACAGTCTCCATTAGGTCATAGTGTGCACACACACAAGTACACAGACACGTCACCCTCATTAGACTCCCATTTATCTTCCCAAACAAGAGACTCCCCACAAACACATTAATGGTTTAAGATAGTTACAGACACTCTTCAGGGAGGGGGATTATGAAAATTCCTGCATATGTGTTCCTGATTTTGTTTCTTGCTTCTTACTTTTGATCATGAAGTTATTTACCAAAATGTGTATGAATGTTTATTTCTATTTTAATTATCATTGATGCCCCTGTTAGCCTGACCATCTTTATGTCTTTTCAGGCTGCTATCCCTGCCCCGGCCCCAGCCTTAACCCAATAGCTCTGGGAAGCCGCTGGCTGGCCTACGCTGAGAACAAGGTAGTCTACACACACTCACACACACACACACACACATCCTTCGCAGAAGTGCCTTATCAGAAAAGCGACATATTTACAATCCAAAAAATGCATTTTATCTATTTCCTGCCTCTTTAATCTGTCTGGATAAACAACTCATTCCAAGAAGAGTCCAAAAGAGATGATAACATTTTGAAAATCAACAGATGCACGGGAGTTTTCTGTTCTCTCCTGTTTAATGGGATTGTTAAGTATTTACAAAAACCAGAATGTTCTACTGCGCGCTCTGCAATACATTTAATGCACAATAGTGTTTTGGTGCTGGCCCACTCAAGTAATTGACAGATGGGACCACTGTTTGTGTGACTGCCTAAGGATTTCCAGAAATTACAAAATCTAGTTTTTTTTAACCGTAAGAGTAATACTGGGACAGAGCCATTCAAGTGATATTGTATTTGAAATTAAATCAGCGCAGATTGGCTGTTTCGTTTTGTAATGTTTCTTTGAAAGCAAAACCAATTTCCTCCCAAGAGTGAAGAGGGGAGGCTTTTGGATGTCTGAAATCTCAGTTAATTTCCCCACATTTTTTCCCTTTTCATACATCTTCCGTAGATTTTATATGTCTTGTATTTATCTGTAAATCTTTGTGTCTTTGCAGTTGATCAGATGTCACCAGTCTCGTGGAGGAGCTTGCGGTGACAATGCACAGTCTTATACAGCCACAGTGATCAATGCAGCCAAAGTGAGTGACAATACATGCACACATTGACCTGTTTTTCCTTTTTTTCTTCATTTCTTATGTATATACCTTAGGCTTGTTACCTTGAACACTTCAACATGATTGAGCCGAAGTGCTGGATATCACAAACTTATAAACGGGCAATCATTTATTTTGTGTTGTTCCATAGATAGGGCTCAGCATTTAGAGATTTTCTTTGTTTTTTCCTAAAAATATATATTTTTTGATAATGGAAATATCTAAGTAGTATACAACTACCGAGTATAAAACACTTTTCACAGCTCAACCCTTTTAGTTTTTGTTTTAACCATTGACAGTATATATAATGGACAGAGCTTCCGGATCAGTCAAGTGAAGCCAATGCAGAAGTGTCTTAAACTTGCATTCTTTCTAATGTCCATAAGGGAGCAGCTCCATAGGCTACAAAAAACAAGACACTGAAGGCTACTGTGCCACAGACGGGGTAATGGTAAACCTCAAGTGGATTACAAGTACCTCAAAAGTGTACTTAAATAAAAGTAATTGTTACAGTCCACCACTTTATTCAAGATTTAAATTTTAACTGCAAATATAAATCGATTCCAAATATCGGATTTCCGTGATGTTAGCATGTCAGTCAGTGATACTCCATTGTTATTACAAAAAACTCGAACCTGCATTATTTCAAATTATGGAATAAAATTGTTCCGCTGAGACACGTGCAGAATCTTTAAATGTACTGAAACTGAGCATTCGATCCAGCAGTGCAGTCCTAGGTTTTCACATTAATTCAACAGTTATGTTTATATTAAATCAATCAAGAGAGCTGACTGAAATACACATGTGAAGGAACGTTATAGCAGTGCTCAAGCTCTTTTCAAGACCTCTTCTGACATGAAATGTTAAGTTGTGGTTATTTCAAAATCAAATCAAAACTCTTAAATAGATGAATTCAGTGTCTGCATGTTTGATTGTTTCTCTTTCTAGAGACATTCCCCACTTTGGCTGAACAATGTCAGAAAACAGTTTTTGTCAGATTCACTACTCTGTAGTGTCACCGTAACTAACTCCTTACACTTACTTCTAAATGATGGATCTTAGAGACAAGGGAGGATATTCAATGGTTTAGCTAAGCACAAGACACTGCCTAAGCTTTCTAGGTGGAGCTCGCACTTAAGAATGTATGTTATGCACATGATAAGACGTAGGCTAATTTGACTGCAATCATTTGCTTCACAGAGTACTGAACAGAACAAAGTTGCATACCAAACCTAACGTCCGGTACTGAACAGTTAAGGACCAAAACACACTGTTACACCCCTATTTCTATTGTACACTACAGAAAACACAAGTTCCTAATTCTTTTTAATTTAATCTACTTTCAAAAAGTTCAGTTCAATTTATTTATTATTTGTCCCAAGCATAATAACACATAAAACAACAACAGACAACACCCACTACAGAAGGAGTGACTCTAAACTAGTCCTTAATTAAATTGGAAATGAGTTTTCATGTTCAGACTGTGGCTATAATCTGTCTAAAGGTCCTCTGGTCTGTCTTAAGCCTTTGCTGATATTAAACAGCACATAACACAGCACTTCTAGCTCTGCCTGCACCATCTGTAAATGTGCTGACATTGGATCCACCTGGCCCGCCTGGCTGACTGGGGCTGAGCTTATGAGACACTTCATCAACCTGCCTATCTGTTTTTTCCCCACTGCAATCTGTTTCTCTCCATCGGTCTCGTTTCACTCGTCTCCACGGGGAGCATCTCTAAGATGGCTCACTAACAGCCAACAGCCCCCTTTGATACAAGAAATTCATTCCTGGTCAGATTTAGCCGCTTGCCGACACATGCTAACTAGCTAGCTCCATATATGGTTCTAGTCTGTTTCTCTGTTCGGTCCCAGAGGAAGGGGCTAATTGATTTACAAAGAGCAAGTGTATCCCTTCCCCTTTACTTAATGAGTGTGAACAGCTAGTGTGAGAGAAGTGTCATTAGCAGGCTAATGATGGTATACATCAAAAAGAGTACTGTGTCGCTAACAGGTTAGCGGCATAAGGGGTCTAAGGGGTGGACAATGGCACGGGGGTATTGATATGCAGACAGGCAGTCTGCTTGCCCGCCCTCTCCTCATTTAGGACCATATATCTCAATATGGATGACAAGGTATCTCCTTCTGGCTTGTGGCGCGACACGCTGGCTCTTAGTGCTGACGTCCAGAGACATGGAAACAAAAAAGGGGGGGTTGCATTAAAGTGTAATGGCTTTTGTTTATAAGAAAGATAAAAGAGAGTGCACTGGCTCTGACCAATTGGACTCCATGTTTCTGATTTTCTCTCTTACGGTAAATTTTTGTAAATCATCAGTGCTGCTGCCTATCACTCCTGCGTGGATGATTGAGAAAGACCTTTCACTTAAATTACTTTGTAATTTGTTTAGATGGCGACATCAGACCATAGCTCTGTGTGTGTGTGTGTGTGTGTGTGCTCATGTGTTTTTGTCAGCCATCAGACATGATCTGCCTTAGACCCCGGCCCCCTCCCCACCGGCAGATCAATAGCCCCTGTTTGGACTACCACTAAGAACTCCACAACTGCAGTGATTAGAAAACACATTAGTGTTGATCAATTAGGAGCCAAACGCCTCACTTAATAATTGATGGCTGTTCTGGCATTTTACACACACACAAATGCAGGCGTACACACGCAGCCAGCAGACACTGTTAGTGTGCCTGGCCAAGTGGCAAAGAGAGACAGTGGGCGATCCTCAGACCCAACAAACGCGAGGCGCCACGCTGTATTGACAGGGCCGCCTAGTCTGAATGCCTGATTAGGCTCTCCGGGGCCCCTTTGGCGCTTACACACACACAGACACACAGTCACACGCATTGCACTCCATTAGGCAAAGACAGTGTAGTAGGTGAGATAGACTCCACTTAAGCAGCACTATCCATTTCCCTCAATCAAGCCACAGAGGTGTGTTTGAGCCAGACACCCTGGCTGGGCCTTAAGCGGACACAGAGGAGCCTCACACACACACGCACACATGCACACATGGGTGTCTCCTGTGGCTACAGTGCTACAAGTCATCAGCACTACAAGTTATCAGCAAGCATTAAGTGAACATGGTGCATGCACACACACACAGACACTGTATTGCACATTCACCCATGCACTTGTGCTCATCTCCATTGCCCGCAAAGGCTTCAGACTAAGTGGAGTAAAAAAAAAAAAGAAATGCAGTAAATCATAACATATTACTTCATTGTTGGATTTTTAAGCACAGAAATAATTTATTCTTCCTATTCTTCCAGACTTTAAAGACAGGCCTGACAATGGTGGGTAAAGTTGTCACCCAGTTGGCCGGCACGCTGCCTGCAGGCACCCCGGATGAGGAGGGCACACCTCACAGCACAAGCCGCCGCAGCCCCCACAACCCCGGTGTGGTCACCATCATTGATACGCACAGTGTTGGCGAAGGACAGGTCAGTTTGTCATTTTGCTTGGTAGTGTTGATGATTGAATAATAATGAATTTGAACAGTGTGATTAATTTTTTTAAAATGTTTGTTCACCCTTTGTTCATATAATATGACTTTTTGCAGTTTTTTTACAAACTACACTCTACTAATTTCTGTAATACTTATTGGTAGGGTGTAAGGATCAAATTAGGGCAAATTTGTGTTTTTCCTCCTTACTTGGCAAATTAAATGTAAGCAGTGCATTGAATGAATTAAAATCATTTACAGCACACACTGCACATGTACAACATGTAAACACACTTAGTACTGTCAGATTTAATAATAATATTGGTCTGTAGTGTTTCTATGTGTGTGACTTTGTTTCAACTCAACAGATTAGAGATGGAATTATTTTTATTGAGCTTACGACCTTACTTTTAGTTTTTAAATCTGAAATGCTTTCAAACATCTGCTTTTATTTGCTAGGAATAGCAACTGCTGCAAATGGCACCTGGCAATAATTGACAAACAAAGGCTTCATCTGAAAAGTCTAACAATCATGGCCTTGAAGTAATAGGTTATGAGGACAAGCAAAGTTAGAGAACTAGAGTTAGAAAAAAACAACAACAACCATTTAAATGCAAAATGTGTCTATTAAGGAAGAAAATATATGCAGTATTAGACCAAGGTAAATAAATGTCAACCTGGCTAGTAAGTTGTAAATGAGGTGTTAATGAGGTCTCTTCATTGTCATAGATATAATAGGTCATGCTTTTGAGGGGGTTTGAGGGTCACACTTTCAGACTGTAACATGGCCAAGTTATTCTTAAAGACGATTGGAAGCTAGAAATGGAATATGTTTGGTGGTTAGGACTATTTCAACTTGCACCAAATGAGAGCATGTATTTAATAAGAGTGCTGTTCATCCAGCAGAGTTCCACACACTTGGTTAATCTATGACAAAGATCACTAAAACTCAGTGTGGAACAACACCTCACTGTGACACTTTCTGTTGGTTTTTCCTTTCATTTGTCATCCATCTGTATATTAGGTTCCTTGTGAGTTGGTACTATTCAAATGGATGGACCCGTATACATTAGTTTATATTTTCAGTTGTTCATCTTGATGGATGGTTATGGTATCTTCCCTACAGTGATGAGTAAGTTCCAGCCCAAGGTTAGGAAACTCTAGTTGCATCCTGTGGCTTTGACAAAAGTGGCCAAACTGTGTGATTACAGCAAAGGCAACTGTCACATGATGCACACTGGACCAAAAAGACTTTTTCCCATAAGCGTACATTGTGAAAGACGGCAGATTTTTTGTTGTGTTCAATATTCAGTCCGATAACATTTGAAAAGTCTTGGAAAGCTGCAAGATGAAATAATTTTATCGTCATTCCATTAAACGGAGGGCTAAAGAATGCATTCATCTGCGTAATTTCTTTATAGCCGGAAATGGCTTTTTTGGCTTCATGGGCCACTGAGCAGCTTTCATAGGAATGAACGTAATGCTGCTTAAATGCTGTATCCAGTTCTCGTTATATATCCACACTCCAGACAGATGGCTAAAAATGGCTCGTTTGATAGTAAAGTTTGCTGACCACTGTCCTAGCCCTTGAGTTTCACTATGACTCTTGCATTGTAGGGTAAAACCCTCAGACTATAACTGGTCTGAGCCAACTCAGTATTCTGAACCTGCATGGTGGTTAACCAGAAACTGTTACCAGGCGACCATTATTGTTTAATAGAGTGTCAGCTTTACTGGCTAGACCTCTTAATCCTTACATCCCCCCCTAACTCGACCCTCTATGTACATTATGCATACACACACACACCAAAGATTAAATTGGCACCAGTTTGTTCTTGGCTTTTTGCCTCTCTGGTCTTGTCGTGTGTGACCCAGGTAAACATAACTTTGGCCTCTGCGGCTTGGTAGGAAACAGGAAAATCTCCAAGGTTGGCTTTTTTTCTTCCTCCTGTGGCTTGGACACACTCAGACCCATTCACCTCACTCTGCACAACTTGCTGAAAGGTGTGACTTAGATTTGCTGCATATTTTAACAGCCAAGCTTTTAGCCATGGCCCGTGTTTTAGCAGCCCTGGTAGGAGAGACACTCTGTAAACAGTCAGGTCTGTAACCTCACATGCAGCTCAAGGCTGAGCGAGTGCACCATATGTCAAATAAGGTCTTAACATTCAATTTAGCCATTTTATGGTGGATTTGGGAGGTAAGTGAGAAGCACGTTTCCAGCCATGTATATTTTTTTCTAGTAGGATTGTTTTCTCACCAAAAAAGTTGTTAGCAGGAGTGGGCGAAATATTCCTAAAAAACATAATGTTATGGCAGAAACAAAATTAATGAAGATTTGAGAAAATACTTATGTCCATGGTTAAGACGCAGTTGTCTGCATTACCTTACTACAGTATTTGTCTTACATTTGCAAACAAATTACAAACAGGTATAGGTTTTTGGAGATGTTATATCCAGGGTCCAGCTTTTAAATGAGTTGTTTCTAGTCTAGTTGGTTGTTATTGTAATTAGCTGTTGTGCTCTCCTCACACAATGATTGGCTATCCTCCCATCTGAACTGGCTGCTTTTGCGAAAGGTGGTGACTATTTTCCTGTTTCTGCCCACTTGCACTGTGTACATATTGTTGTATTTTTTAAACCAATTACTTCAACACTATCTAAATCATTCCATTTGTCTTCCGTAGAGAAGCAGAAAATTACTTTACTTACACTTTCATCTATGCTTGTTGCTGCTGTGCATAGATATGACCAAAATTTGCTGCAATAGTGTATGACACATCACTCACAAAAAGATCCTATTATCATGAACAGTGTGAAAGGACACACCCCTAACTACAGCTACATTTAGGTATATTGTCCTTATATACCTGGACACAGACATTAGGGCTGTGTATTGGCAAGTATCTCTGGCGATACAATACGTGTATCGTGATACTGCAAGCAAGGTGATATATTGCGAATTCTTAAATCTAATGGGTCATAGTGTAAATAACATACAACCCTTGCGGCCGGGGGTTTAAACACAACACAAAATGAATCACTCCCACGAATCTTTGCACATAAACTATTAATTAAAAATCGATTCAGTATCACAAAACATAATATTGCAATAATGTGTATCAATATTTTCTCACACCTCCAACAGAAAGCATATATACCAATATATGGGTCTAACCCTGGTTATGGTTTGAACCATGCCAGTTGCCTTCAACAGGATCTCCCCTTAAAGTAAAAAAAAAACGCTAAAAGCTTTTATCCCCTTAATTCTCCTCAGCCACTCCAGACCATGATTAATCACACTGCAGTAGCTGTCACATTTTTGATGAGGCGTGTTAGCATACATAATACAGTTTGTCAGTGATGTAGCCACCACACACACACTCGCTGCCTTCCCCTTCTCTCTTACATGGTGACTGTAGCCACCCCATAGCCAGTGTGTTGTCTTATAAGCTGGACCTAAGCCTTCAGAAGCAGGCCTGCACTGTGTCACCAGCCGACACACTGTAACCGTACACTGGCCATAAACACTGACTGGGCAGGGAGGAGGGGAAAGCCAGGAGTGGAGGAGAAATTGGCGGTGAAGGGAGGAGTGAGAGGGTAAGGGGGGCTGATTTTTGGGAGAAATGGGAAAAGGCAGGGATATGATAGAGGTGAGTTCTTGTGTCACTGCGGCAGTCCAGGATATTCCCATCTCTTCCAGGCTTTGAAATTCCTTATTTGGAGCAGCAGCCTCATAACACACAGGCGCACACACTTTCCCCTGCCTAACGACAGACTCGGTTCTCCGGAGGACACTCCTGTTTCAAAGGGCTCCAGCAGGATTCCCTCACAGAACAACATTGTCTGCCTGCACCATAATAAAAGTGATCTGCTTCATGTCACCAGCCTCTTTCTTTCTTTTTTCTTTCTTTCTGTTCTACCCCTTTTTCTTTTTTCCCTTGCTTATTTTCTTGCTTGTAGTCTGAGATGAAGCCCTTTTAGTTTTTAGAGGCTGTTTCTTGTTTGGACTAGTTCCTATTTAAAATGCTCAGCCAGCCTTCCTGACATCGTTAATGCAACGCTGGGCCCAAATTTAACCCTGTGTAAATGTTCCCTCTCTCACACACACACACACTCGTTCACCAAGTGGCCTCATGTCTGGGCTTATTTCTAATCTCTCTTTGTGACTAAAGGGGTTCTCTGCCAGCTCCTGGTCTGGGCTCAGCCTTTGTTAGATCCGTCCCAGTCTTGACAGCAGACTTCATGCAGAGATTTAGGAGCAGCCTCTAGTTGTGCAAAGTGACTTATAATTTCATTTTCTTAGGCACGTTTCGAGCCAGAGCTACATTTGACGCCAGTTTCTGCCTGTTTACGGGAAAACCCGCTGTCATGGGGTATTGTCAAAGCCACATGTGAAAAGCCACATTATTGCCAATGTAAATGTGTCCATATTCTTGTCTCTGTTGTTGGACCATACCCCGTCCACATTGGTCTCAATGCAGCCTCTTACTGAAGCACCAGCACCAATGAAATATAGCTCGGATTTAGATAATTTGTAATTTATTTGATTCAGCACAAAGAGAGAGGTTTTGAACAAAAGTGCTTGTTTTCCTATCAGGTAAGTGGTTTTCTGATCATTTTCTATCCACAAGAGGGCAATGGCACATTCAGAAAAGAGTTCAACGTCCAGCTATTTCACCATGGAGTAATGTCAAAGCACACTGCTGAGTGTGGTGATGATATCAGACCAAACCAAAATGTGAAGAGAAATCCTTGAGCAGGGGAAAGTCCCGTTCTGGGTTCAATGTTCTCATTGTTAGAAAATGATTTGGATTTTCTTTTTGTGTGTGTGTGTGTGTGTGTGTGTATATATATATGCTCCAGGTCTTGGTGAGTGAGGACTCGGACGGCGAGGGAGTGGTGGCTCACTTCCCAGCTCATGACAAACCCATATCCTGCATGCAATTCAACCCCAGTGGTAAGACACACTCGCACACACACACACAGACACACACGCACATTTATTTTTGAGGAAGGAGCTAGAGCAAGTTTGGAAGACATAGAAAGGAGGAGAGAGATTACACTTCCATTCAAGTGTGACATAGTGTGTGTTTGGCTCACATGTGGTCGCCTCATCTTTTCTGTTCCAGCCAACTCACCCAAATGTATTCACAGTGTGTGTATTCATATTGTACACAATGAACATGTCTTCAGCCTGAGTTTCCCCAATACATGCCTTTACACAAACCTCAAGACACAGACAACGCATGCAAGTCAGACATTGTGTCACATATAGTAAATGGGTGACAGATCCTTGTCCTTTTGTTAAACGAGAGACTGAAACAAGCCTACAGTTTTAATCTACACCCGACCTGAACACTTTTTCATGCAGGGCCAAGTGTATTAACATTGGATAAACATTTAGAAGGCAGAAGGGAAACACTGTAGTAACCTGGCAGGTGTTTTATAAAGCGTTTAAGCTTTTATAAAGTTTGACTTCTTTTCAGGAAATGTTGTTTTGTAAAGAGGTTTTTTTTTTTTTTTT